CCGTTAACTTGTTAGAAGATCTGAATGTTGTTCTATTTGAGTACAACCAAATGATATTGTCTGACAGCTTCCAGTGTTTGAATTTCTAGGCTGCAATTCTTTATAAATGTAACTAAATTTTATATTTCTCACTTTTTAAAAAAAAAACATGTAAGACATTGAGAAATATAGAGAAACTGATTATTTCAGCAACTTTTAAGAATTCCTGGGAATTCTGATTTCTTCTCTCAAATTCTGAAGGTTAATATCTGTTGGCATCCTGGAACCACTGCATCAGAGGTCTTCAAGCATCTTGGGGAAAGTCTGATTGCCATAGTGTGTATCTGTCCTGCCCTCTGTGCACAGGAGAGCCCTCTCTTCCCACTTCCCAGTTGTCACTAGAGTTCTTTTTTGCTGATTGTCATTTCTCCCAATCTGAATTAGGATTTCTGGAGAAAAGGAGCCTGATGAATTCTTGTTTCTTAAATCACATACTATTTTTGTCTTCTTGTTAGTACTACTAATTTCTGGAAATGAATGAAGAAATTTCTAAAGGTTCAAATTAATAAGTTCACTTATTTTGGAGCAGGTCCATATGCTAAAGGCTAACCATGTTTCCAAGTACCAGGAGCACAAAATTATGAAACCCCAGTCATCATAATTTTGAGTGCACAGTATGTTGAGGAGGATACATGAACTGTAGTTAATGTCACCATTGGGCCTAATGAGACATAAATTTGAACAGTGTCATGATTAATTCTATCTGGGGTGCAGGTCACAGGATTGGAAAGGGCTTCACGGAGGGCAATGGATTTGAAGCTTGAACAAGAAATGGACATTTGCTCTGCACATAAAGCAGTTACCAAGTCCTTTAGACTTTAATGTGAACAGCACATGGAAGAGACAAGTGGATGTGGCCACTAGAGATGGAAGCAATAGAACTGAATGATGGGGAAGGTGGTAAGAGCAGGGGTGGGAGGAATCCAGGGTGGCTCCCAGGCTCTCAGCCTAGGAGTGCCCCATGCCTTGTTAGAATAACAGTAGCCTTTTCATTCTTTGTTGGGTAGAATTGAGGTGCTTGCTTGGAGATAAGTTGAGGAGCCTGACCCTGCTGCAAGAGATTATAGTGCCTGCAAAGGGGTCCCCAAGAGATGGTTCCCGGGAAGGTGGTATTTGAGTTGGCCTTGAGAAAAGGAGGTTGGAGGGAAGAAATGAAGGTGTATCAAGTGGAGAAAAAAGCACATGTGGCTGGAACAATAATTGCTGGAAATGATGGTGTGTGTGTGTGTATGTGTGTGTGTGTGTGTGTTGTATACACCTGTTTTGAGGGGATGGAAGCACAGGAAACACTGAACCTGTGAATTTAGATTACACCCTGAGAGGAGAAAATGGAGGTTCTAAACCTGGAAGTCTTGTGATCAGACTTACTCTAAGAACCATTCTTTTGCTTGAAAAGTATAAATGCTGAGAATTTTGATAGACTTTTTAAAAAAGATTGGGAGTAAATAGTTTAACAGATGGCAATAGGAAATGCTGGTGAAATCTCAGGTGTCTGACTTCTTTCTTGTTGCTTGGGGTTTTTCTGTGTGGTACCATCAGTCTGCAGGAGGTGAGGCTGCCCCTCAGCACCAGCCAGGCTGAAGCAGGGTCGGGGCTTGGTGGTGAGTGGGAAGGCTGACAGAACAGGGCCTGCTTACAGACTAGATCGTTGTGTCACCCCAGTTGACTAATTACTGGGATATTGCAATCCCATCAAGATTTCTTCATTGCGTTTTATTCTTTATCAACTTAAGAATTAGAATTGTGGGTCAGAAATCTTAGTCTTTTGCCTTGACTGCTTGGTCACTTTTTATGATTCACATTCAGTTGCAGGGATTGAAATATATATATAATATCAGGGGAAGTTATACCTTATTAGATTCAAAGATACATAAACTTATACACTTGGCCTCTGGAAAAAGACCACAGCTTTTGGTGCCATCTCTAGGGCCCTACATCTTTGAGGTTAAGACCACCTGGACTCGTCCCAATCTAACAGGTATGCTAGTTTCTTTAGAATTAGGAAAATCCAGAGTGGCTTAGCCTTTGTACCATAAGCACCCAACGCATTCTAGAATGGAGAAGTCAAAGGTAGTGGGTAGATAGCTATGGAGACAGTGTTTCAAAGGAGTTCTATTTATAAAATTGAATATTGGTAATGAAAGTACAGATTCCAAAACTGGAGATTGAAATGGCTCTGGATCTGTACAATGCTTTCCTTTGACAGTCTCCATTTGGCACATATGTCTGTTGTAACTGCCATGGGCCTCTGTGACATTGCAAGTTACTTTCCCTCTGCCTCTAATTCCTCATCTACACAATAAAGTGGCTGGACTAGATTAGTTTGAAGGTGTTTTCTGGTTCTGACATTCTATGGATTTGTGATGCATTACTGAGGAACCACTGCAGTGATCAGCATGGACAGACCTATCCACGCGCCACAGTGAAATCTTGAGCACCTAGGGTGCACCAGGCCTTCTAGAGCACACTGGTCAGCTTCACCCCACTGCCTCCCCAGAGACAGAGATGACTTGTCATTAACTGGGTGATTGGCAGCTGGCTCCTTCTTTTCCTCAAAGCCACTGATTCAGTGTTTGCTTCTTCCTCCCCTGCCTTTGGCTAAGCTCCGTTAGGCTTCTTTTCTCTGGGGCATCATTGTACACGGTTGTTTGCTCCAGAAAAGCTGCCACTCTTTGGACTTTATTGTCCCTTTCTTGGAACTTATAACAAGAACTACTTTAGCTACCCAGGAGAGGGGCTGCCAGATGCCAGAACTTCTTCCTGCATTTGCTGATTCATTATCAGTGTCAGACAATCTGCTGTGTGAATGATGATAAATGTGAGGTGTTCTGCTGAAGGAATCATGTACTCTAAGATTAACCCCATGCTGACAGCCTGCTCCTCTGTTGCAGAAGTCCCCTCCCCCACTCCATTCCTTTACCAGCAGTCCAGAATAAACACTGAAAGAGTCAGGTTTTTGTTTCTGATGAAGGATGATGATAGACCTCAAATCCATGTGGTTTATAAATGCAAATGATGTTTCTTATTACAAACAGAGGGGCAAGGCTAAGGTGGGCAGCTTCTGTGAAAGCAGAGTGACATTGAAGACCCCAAGAGCACCCAAGTGGGTATCCCTGTAGAATTTTTAAGCTAGTATTCTAGGTTGGAGTGAGATGGGTCAAGGAGGAGAGATTCATCCTTGAGTGCTGTTCCACAGCTGTGTGAATGCCACTCCAGGTCTTGCTACAAGTCAGCTACATGGCTTCAGGCAAGACTCTTCTCCTCTTTGAGCTTTAGTTTCCCTCTTTAGTAAAAAGGACCACATTGAACTAGGTGATCTCAAAGGATCCTTGTGGGACTTTCTTCTCTAGGGTTTACCCAGGGTCAGCACTGTGGCTTCTCCAGCCTGAATCCTCAATGGCCCCAAAGGCTGGGTTGTGGATGCACATTTGGTCCTCTGTGAAGTCACCCTCAAATATAATCCACCAAACAGACCTTCTTCTTCTTACTGCCTCTCGAATACTGCTGGGACACATTTGACATATGATAAGAACCAAATTAATGGGTGCTTCTTTGCTTTATTTGTCCTTCTTTCTTGTTCACTTCCCATCATTTAGAAGAGGGTAGGTCATTTTCAACATCAAACCCAAATTCCTGAGGATCTGGAGAATCATTTCTCACTTGGTAGAAAAGATATCCTCCTTCTGCCTTCATGGATTCTTTTGGGACATGGATGTCTTTCCAAACCTAGGGCTTGAAGATCGATCACATTTCTATGACAATGGTAATTTTATTCTCTATTATCTCATCTATTGGGGAAAATAATAATTGTAGTCATAGGTACTATTTTTATTGCTGCCTGTTTTGCAGGTTTTATACTGAGTTGTACGCATCATCAGCTCATTTAATCTTCTTAATATCTGCTTGAAGTAGATTCTATTTTCACCCATTTATAGATGAGGAAACTGAGACTTTAAGGATTAAATATCTTGCCAACGTCATGCCATGAAGAAGTAGCAGAGCTGAGTTTGAGCTTGTCTTTTTTTGAGAATCCAGATGCTAACCACTGTGTAGAACTGCCAGTGCAAAACACTTCAAGGGCACCATAATTGCCTGATTGATGGGCAGCCCAAAGATACTTGTCCTCTATCCAGAACTCAGCCCTTGGGCCATGGGAGTTGCTCCAAGTGGCTTTGCGGGAGAACAGCTTCAGCTAAAGGGAGAAGGGTGGCAGTTACTGCAGGCCCTATTTCAGTGGTTTATGATGCAGAGATGGGGTTCCTTCTGTGGACATAAGCCATCCTAATAGTGCCATTTATCATTATGACATAGGTTAGAAAGAGGGGAAGCTAGAGCTGGAATGAAAGAGTAGAATTCTGATTATTTTAACAGTTGGAAGTGACATCACCTCAGAGCTTCTATTGAGTGGCAAATTGGAAGCCAGACTGAAATTGCTTTAAAATGTATCCAGAGATAGTTTTCTGCAGCTGTGATGAAGTCTTTCGGTTGTGTTTGGAGATGCGTTTCTATCTAAAGCACTCATGGAGTAGCCTGTGTATCACCCAAATGGAAGGCTGCCCATCAGCCCCAGGAGATTTGAAGGCTCCAAAGAGCTATTCTGGGCACTAGTGATATGCCACACCTGGCATTGGGGCTGATTGAGCCACCCTCCCTTATTGTTTCTTTAAAATATATTGTTTATGACTTTATATGTCAGCAAATAATGCTTAATATTTAGTGGCCACACTGTTTCTTTGGTCCAGCTGTGAAGTTAAGCCTCAGCTTTGGAACAAACTCTTCCACCTCCATTGATGAGTAGAAAAAGTGGGAGTGCTGTCTATGGGCCCCTGGGATTCCATTGTCCACTGTTCTTTAAGGGGTGTTCCATTTGTTCATCTGACCTTGGATTCTGAAAACCGGGAGGAAAAACCAATGAGAACTGGAGTTTTAACTAACCTATCCCATTTTTTTTTCATCTTCAGGCAAAAGAAGGGGAACGTGGCCCACAAACACTGGGTTGGACCTTCGAATTTGGTCAAGTGCAAGCCCTGTCCTGTGGCACAGTCAGCCATGGTCTGTGGCTCTGATGGTCACACCTACACGTCCAAGGTGGGTCTTCTTTATTTTATTGTTATTATTATTATTGATCATAAAAAATACTGTAGGTCTGCTTGTCAAATCTCTGCCAAAACAGGAACCTGGAAAGGTTCAAGAACTCTAGGCCTTGCCTTGGAGAAGCTGTTACATAAATAGACACAGAGATATTCTCTGACCAAGGAGGCAAGCAAAATAAAAATGTTAGTCCTATGTAATTGGACTGTCCAAGGCTTAGGGGAAAGGGTGGTTCTGTGAATAGTGTGTGAGCCCAATGTTAATGTCGAAGAACCTGGAGATGAGGTAGCACACACAGCTTAGCTGATGTGGAGCAACCCAGGGAGGATGGCTCGGGTTGCTGCTTAGTGGATGGTGCCGTGGAAGGAAGGACTGTGATGTCAGCCCATATTTGTCAGCACTTCTGGGCATCTAGGACTCACCAAGCATTGCATGGGCCCTTAATATGGTACTGCTTATTTCTTAGGGACATTTGGGGACTCCCAGTCTCAAAGGACCGAGGAAAGTATGGTGATGTGACATTTTAGCCCAAACCAACAAAAAGAAAGTGGTTTTATATAAAAGAGGCCAGGGTAAGGCAGGTCTATTTATTCTTATTGGAGGGCTGAGGAGCAGCTTTGAAGGGAGCACTGAACTGGGCTTGTTAAGCAGGATTTATAAGTAGGGAGGCAGGGGTCAGGGTGGAGAAAGGAGCTGATACTTTGTTCTTGGAATTTCAAACACTCTCCTTGGGTAAAGTTGTCCACCTGTATTTGAGAATGGGTGCATTTCACTGGTATATGAATTAAAGAAAGGGAAACCAAATGATCTAAGAGTTTGCTTACTTGACAAGTTCATATTTCATACCCAGCACCGCCTTGGGGTCTGGCCTCATACTAGGTGTCAGGGAGCTGGTGTGCCGCCAGTTGGCTGGGCTGGCAAGATGAACTAGGTTCAAAGGAACTGGCTGTATCAATAACTGAGAAAATGGCAAAGAAAACACGCATCACACGAACATGAGTTTCTAAGATAGAGAGTGGGACGGCTCAGTGACCCCAAGGGTCAGCTCCATGTTGGCAGTGCTAGAAGGAGAGTGTGTGCCCAGATTCTTTTTATTTTATGGGGGGGAGGGGCACACACAAAGGAGGTCCCATGGAATGTTCTTCACCAATAAGGCAGGGAATAGGGTTTCGAAGGTGGAGTCTTACTTTGTGATGTCTTGTGGTCAGCAGATTGATTGACATCTTGGCAAGTCACACCCATCTCAGGTGCTGTGTGGGATCACAGGCAGAGCATGAAGAGAGGCACATTTGTATCGCACAGCCCAATCAGCATGCAATGCAAGTCCCCTGATACACTCAAATGTGCATAGCTCACACACACAGCCCATGGATGGCTCAGGACACTGGTATATGGGTACATATCTCGGGAATTTTCTGCATGACATGCTGCAGGGGTGGAGCTGGCTTCCAACCAGTGCTGCAAGGCCTTTATCTGTCACTTTGTGTTCCTCTGTAAGGTTCCTCTTGCAGAGTAGTCTGTGGCTAAGGAGTTGCCTTAAGGGAACAACCAGAATACTTTTGACCATACTGCCCTGTGATTCTGAGCTTTTCTGCTGGGTGTCTTATTTGTCCTTGCCCTTCTCACTGTTGGTGGTCTGTGTTCTCAATAAGCCCCATGCAGGTCCTCACACCATGGAGATTCCACAGTCCACAGGCTGAGGTGGACCCTTACTGCCTGCCATTCTCAAAGGCTTACTTGGGTCACTTTGAGGCTATGGCAGCTCTTCCCTGGGGATTTTGCAATGCATAAATAGGTCCTGTATTTTTATTCATTGAAAATAGAATTTTATTCCAACCACATTTCTACCTTTCTTCCCCACCAACTAAGGGGAATACATCTTACAAAACAGGAAGCCAGAAAGTATACTTCAGTCTGGCTTGTACTCAGACCCATGTAATTTACTTGAGGACCTCAGTAGCATAGTCATTATACAATAATTTATTTCCTTAATTTATTTAAAAACTATCATTTGAGCCCTCTGAAGTTCCAGGCACTGTGCTAGGTGCTGGGGACACTTATAGTAGGAATAAAAATTTGACTCTTTTCATGACTTGAATTAGTAATCCTTACCTTCCCCACTGTAGAACTTCCCTGTGAGTTAGAACTTCTCTACCCAGGGTCACAGCTGGTACCTCCTGGCTAAATAGCCCCATCCCCAAGCTTAACCCACTTTCCCCCCTTTCTTTCCTCTCTTTTATCTCGGATGGAATCAAAGTTTGCAACAGCTTGCAGTGATGGGCCTCACTTGTGACACCTTAAACACATCTGGAATAGTAGATATACAGGGGACACTGATAAATAATTTTTATCCCCCATCCCAAAGGCATCATTGTCTTTCACCAGGGTCCAGATGCTGGGTGTATAGACAGTGCTGAGAGGTCCCTTAAAAATGCAGATTCAGATATAGCAGGTCTGGGTTGGGACCTGAGATTTTGCATTTCTGACAGGTTTCCTGGTGATGGCCAGGCTGCTGGTTTAAAGACCCCGCTTTGAGTGGCAGGGACTTCAGCTTGCACAGCCATCTCCTAATAGGCATCCCTACCTTCATCTTCCCTTCTCCAAGCTTGGAGTCCATTTGCACATAAAAGAAGAGGGGATGATTCTGTAGGAAAAGTCTGCTGGTATGTCTCCCCTGCTTCACTGTTTGGGAAGTTTTGCTGCTAGAACTGAACTGACTCTTCATCATCACTAACAAAAACCTCCAGAGTCTGACTTGTTCCTACTTCAAAATCACCCACAGAAAGAACCTTTCTTCATCCATTTATTCAATAGCTGCTTGTCGAATACCTCCAGTTCATCTAGGTATTGTGCAAAAGATGATGGATAGTGGGAGAGTTGTGAACAAAATGGATATCATTCCTGCACATGTGGAGGTCACTGTCTGGTAGGAGAGACAGAAATAAATAAGTAACAAAGCACATTAATTGTAATTTCAAATGTTAATAAGTACTATAAGGCTTGGTGCTAGGAAAGAAGTGAAGAGAGACCTGCTTTATAGGGGCCAGTGAGGGAAAAGTCTCTCTAAGGAGGTATCCTTTCAGCTGAGAATGGAGGGGTAGGATGTTCCAGACAGAATGGCATGGGCAAGGGCTCTAAGGCAGCATGATGTCTTTGCAGGACTGAGATGATTCCCACTTGGCTCTAAAGATGAGGAGAGAGGCAGGCATGTAAGATGAAGGGGACAGGGAAGATGTCAAGAATAGTCTTAAGACAGGACATTTAGCAAACTGGAAGATGAGAAGTTATAGAGAAATTCTAGGCTTATGGGAAAATGAGTGCTTCAATTGCCTTAAAAATGTGAAATCCCCAAAGCAGAGACAATGCTTGTCACCATTTCCTCTAGGTGTGGGGTGTGGGATATAATGGGTGCTCAGTGACCAGAGAGACGCCAACCAGGGCTCTAGCTGAGGAGGACTAGGAAGACTCCAGTCTGCCTGTCTCATTCTGGATTTGAGAGCACAGGATGGACAGAGCTTAGTGACTAAGAGAAATAAGCCATCCCCATCCTGGCCAAGTTGCTTAGCTAAATCCCCAGCCTGGAGCTCTGGCAGAGAGTTCGTGGCTCCTTCTTTCTTCTCTCTTTACAATGGTTCCAGCTTGTGCCATTTAAATCATTCCCTCCAGCTCTGGAATAAACCTTCTGATCCTCAAGCCTGAGACGGGAGACATGGGTGTCAGTGAGAATCATGACTGTTTGGGCAAGTGGCAGATTGCACACCAAGCCTCCACAAAAGCCTGCTGTTATGGTTTAGATATTAGGTATTCCCCAAAAACTCATGTGCAAGACATGGCAAGAAGGTGAAGTGATTGCATTATGAGAGTCTTAAGCCAATCAGTGAACCAACCTCCTGATAAGGAATAAGGAGGGAGTAACCATAAGCAGGTAGGGTGTGGCTGGAGGAGTTGGGTCATTAGGGGCATGCTTTGGGGGTTTATATTTTGTATCTGGCAAGTGGAGTTTCCCTTTCTCTGCTTCTTGGTAGCCATGTCATAACCTGCTTTCCTCTGCCACACACTTCCGTCATGCTGTCCTGCTTTAATTAGAGCCCCCAAAATGGAGCCAGCTATCTATGGACTAAGATCTCTGAAACCTTGAGCCCCCAAACACTCTATCTCACAGTCACAGAGGAGCTTGAAAGGCCGGCTTCCCTTGACCTCTGAGCACAAGGAATGATAGCAGTATGTCAATTGCCTAGGAAATGCTTTTGGAAATATTCATTGGTCCAGAACCCCAAGGGTCTAGGCAGGGAAGGTGGCTTTTTGGATATGAGAAGGTTGCCACTTTCAGATGCTGGCAAATAGCTAATTTAAGAGACAGGATTAGAGTTTAAAAGAACCATCTGTAATGACTTTTTTTTTTTTTTTTTGATACTGGGGATTGAACTCAGGGGCACTGGATCCTAGGCCATATTCCTAGCCCTATTTTATATTTTATTTAGAGACAGGGTCTCTCTGAGTTGCTCAGCACCTCACCATTGCTGAGTCTGGCTTTGAACTTGGAATCTTCCTGCCTCAGCCTCCTGAGCCGATGGGACACAGGCATGCACCACTGCGCCCAGCTCTGCAATGACTCTTGATTAATCTTCACAGGACAGTGTATGTCTATATAGTGTCGAGCAGAGAGCCCTTGAGGCCTTCCCCAGTAGGGTGCTGCTGGGACAATAGTGTCTTTCAATTCCTGCCCTAGTTTGACTGAGATCTGAGTCTTCCAGACCTGCTCAACTCTTTTCCAGGAACAAAAGAAGAGACCTAAAGCTGCCTTATCAGAAATTGTGGTATCTTTCTCCTATTTTCCATATGTGGTATCTTAGTCAGTTTTCTATTGCTGTAACAAAATGACAGAGATAATCAACAAATTTGGTATTATTAGGAAGAAAGGTGAAATTTTGGGCTTACAATTTTAAAGATGTCAATCCTTCCTGGCTTGGTCCTGTGGAAGCACAATTCACCATAGC